GCATTTATCTTTGGAAACTGCATCAATTAGTAATAAGCGACAAATTTGTCGCAACATGGGTGAGTGTACAGAATATTATGCCTGTCTAAAGTGCTTATTGTAAGGTAGTAATTACAAATTATTTGCAGTTTTTCCATTTTACAGTTTGTTTTCATTTCTTCTAGGCCTCAAGGTGTTTGGTTGCACACTTGGTGAAGAGACATTGAAAGCCAGGCTGACATCAAAGGTTTCATCAGGAGTCAGCCACATCAGATGTTGTGGGGCTTTCACAAGAACAGGTGAATCAGAATCAACTTTATTGGAATTTTGGTAACTTTCAAGAACTGCATGTCCCTTTTTAAAATGTGTTTATCTCCTCTCCTGATTTCTTTTGCATGATTTTCTTTGTACTTTATAGTTGAGTGTAGGCATGTTGCAATCACTTGGAAAATAAACTTGTCCGCAGCATCTTCAGCAACAATATAAGCTGGCCAGTATGAGAATGACCCAAAGGTGACCTTAGAGGTATGAAACTACATTTTCCATACATAATGTCTACTCAGCAGATGTGCTGAGTCTGGGTATAGAATTTCACTGTTGAAGTTTCCTAAATGAATTAATTCTGTTTACAAACTTTGGTCAGTCACTTTTGGCTTAGCTGAGGAATTTCCTCCCTTATACATTCACTTCTGATTTCTCTTTTTTAACACAGATATGACCTTCTTTATTAAATCAGGGAGGGAATACTGGTCAGTTCATATATGCTGTGCATCATTATTATTCTTTTAAGTACTTAGCATGTACATTCTGCAGCTATTTTACAAGAGATTCAGCTTGGCTTCCTTTGCAGCTTTTATTCACTACAATTTCAGATTTCATGAAGAGTTGTATTATTTGTGCTGTCAGATGTCTTTGATATCACTTGGCACTAATAATACAGGTTGTATTGGTTATGACAAATGATGAAACTGACATGTTATAATGAAATGGTATGTTTCAGTGGGGAAAGTAATAGATGAAGTTTGAAGCTATTGTCATAATGGTTGCTCTGTTTGATGGCTTTTGCTCATCGATTAAAGCAATAAGCAAAAGGAAACAAGCAAGCTTGAATTTTACACATGTAAAGGTTACATTTTATTTAAAATTTCCTAATGTTTTGAAAATAAGAAGATTTTCCCTTAATAAGACTGCTATTTAAATTATTAAGGTCTCACTGGATAGTTTCGTATTTTGACCCCCCCCCTAATTTTTAAGGTAGAAGGCATGAGCCTGATTATCACAACCCTAGCATTTATAAACTCACACATAAGCTAAATCTGTAATGTGGTTTACATTTACTTTGAGTTAGGCTTGTAAATGGGTTGCCTTTTTGGTGACTGCCTGTAACAGTTAGACTAGCACTGGAGATCAAATGCGTAACTTAGTCTGCAAATGTGCATCCGACTTGGCTTACGTATTTACATGTGTCTGCTACAGAGATAAATATCTAAAAATCTACATGGTTGAGGGGTGATGAAAAGTATATTAATTTGTTATAGTACTAGTGAACTTTCAAGATCAATAAGGTACATACTGACTCTGTGAGCCTGCTTCTCACAGGAACAGGTTGAAAATAGCTTTTCTGTCAAAAATGAATGTAAAAAAGAGGGGTTGGTGGTAGTATAGGTTCAGTATCAAAACCACCAGTTGCTTAAGGAATTAACCCTAATACCTTAGTCAGAATCTTACAAGCATCCTTTCAACAAAAATCATTAGTTAGTTTTTATTTGTATCTTTATTGTAAAATTATGATCATTTTTCTGCAATAGGTCATTGTCGGATGAAAATTTGGCAAAACAACTGTCCGGTGAGACCTAACGTTGCTCGTAAAACAAGTCGTTCGCAAGTCTTGGCAGTGAGCGCTAATATCCTGATAATGAAATTTAACGTAACGATGTGAAAACAGTATCAATTTTAGATTGACTTACAGCAATTGTGTCCAACGACGTCTTTAATGTTTCTGAATATTTGCATACAACTTTTGCATTCATACAAAGTTATTTTGCCAGTCGCCATTGCTCTTGTAACAAAGGAGCGCCAATTCTCGTTCTCAGAGCGCCCGGCGATGAAGTGCATGAAACGTTCATGGTGCGAATTCAGCTCACGTGACACTTATTATTATCATCCAATTATGGCAAACAAACCAAATATATTCTAGATTTATTCAACATAATTGTATATGAAAGTATTTGTTGGGTTTAATAAAAAAATAACTTTGAATTCTCAATCGTAATATTATGTGTTACATGGTACAGACTTATTTCACATCCAATCAGGGCCGTATTAAGATTATGAGCATTGTAAGGCTTATATGACGGAAGTTTGCTCAGTCCCATGTTATAAATCCTTATTAAACCCTGTGTTAACCCGGCCTTGCTTCCAACGTGTTCCTTTAATTTAACGGGAAGGTAATAATGTATTTCTGACCTCGGTCACTGTATCAACGCTGTCAACCAAAACATAGTTAGGACCATTTCCTCTTGTTGCTATTGGTGGAAACGTATGCATATATTTTCCGTGAAAACAATTTGCTCGTCTGGAACTCTAGTCAACAATATCGATAGATGCCTTTATTCCCTGCATGTGGACTGATGAGAAAATTATGTACCATGAGAGAGAGAGAGAGAGAGAGAGAGAGAGAGAGAGAGAGAGAGAGAGAGAGAGAGAGAGAGAGAGAGAGAGAGAGAGAGAGATGTCGTATCTGTCCGGTATGCAATTCCAAGTTCTAATATTTCTAATTTTAAAAAAAATAAATACTATAAAAAGTTTATACATTGTGTTCCACACTTATCTTTCTGTGTGTAACGCTTGGAATACAAGAAGTTGCGAGTTTTAAACTCAAGGCGGCATTATATTTTTTGGTAAAAAGATTCTTTTTGGTATTTTTATGTTCAAACTTTCTTTTAAACTCGCTCATCCAATTTTTTTATTCATTTTTAAAAAAAAATATTCCCTTTTCATGAGACTGACAATTAACCTAGTTAACCTAGTTTGAGTACAGTATACAGAGCTTATCGAAGACGGCAAAGAGCATCCAACTTTTATACGCAAGCCTGCTTTTGGACAATATGGCACCCTGTTAATGGACAAGCTCCAGTTTAAGTTCTTAAAAAAATGCATGTTACAGACTTTAAACACCCACCCACCCGTTGGCAATCAGGAAAGAAATAAACTATTGAGTTCAATTCTTAGCGTTTGAGCATTCTTTAATAATATATGCTTTCCTCTTTTTAAAATCGGCAATGGAGGTTTCAGATACACAGAGTGGTAAGCGAACACTATGACATAAACCCTGTAGCAAACAATTTGCTTTTAAAGTTTCCATTCTATAAGACCGTCTTCTCTTCCTTTCACTACAATCTTGCACAATATAACTTTTAGCATAATGAAGCCTTCGGATTTGTTATTCTTCGAAATCTTCCAGGAATTAAACCGACATTTCTTTCCCTAATTCACTCAAAAAAACAAGTATAAAGGTAGGTTTGCATGAATTCTATAATTTTGTTTTTCTAGCAAATGAATCACATAAAACTTCTTTATCTTCAAAGAATATTGTCGTCTTATTAATAGAGTTGTTAAGTCTTCTGTGACTGTTAACTCAACACCTTATACGAATTAATCCTTACAGAGATTTTATGGCATCTTCTCAGTTTCCACTATGCAAATTATATATATATATATATATATATATATATATATATATATATATATATATAATACTGTTTATCATACAGGTTAAAGAATGAAATATTTTTTAGTATTAAACTATTATTTCTGCCCACTATTATCAAGATTCTACTACAGAATCCAGGGATAGCACAGTCTGTTCTGTCTGATATATATTTATAATTAGTTGTAATACAAATATCCTATATACCTTGATTTCTTTCATAGGAATCTGGAAAGGCGGTGTGGGGGGGTGTATATATATATATATATATATATATATATATATATATATATATATATATATATATATATATATATATATATATATATATATATATATATATATGAGAATTAATTACTAGGTCGTCATGCGACTGTGTCTGCTAAGCACGTGCTTATATAACAACGATTCAGTGCCATCATTTTTTGGTGATGTGTGCTTAGTATATGGGTTGGTGCGTGCAGGCAAGGCGATGGGTGCCATTTACTCGCGGACCTGGTTTCGAAACTCCATAGAGTACGAAAATAATTTCTCTAACCTATATGATAGTATTGTTTGTATTAAACTATATATATATATATATATATATATATATATATATATATATATATATATATATATATATATATATATATATATATATATGCAATAAACTGACGACGAACAGTACGAAACTAGTAACTAACTAGCCTAAGCGCTTTCGACTCTTAATGAGTCTTTTTCAAAGGCAAATACAAAACATAGTTACGACAAACAAATAAACACAAAAACGTTGTGTTTGTAAACCTCTACATTTCTGTCTTCACATGTGCTAAAACTATAAATACAACCAGCTGGTATAGACTAGTTGCGAAAACTGAAAACGTTGTATAATTCCCTAAAAGTCTACAAGCCAAAGCGACATCTATTTTTACTTTGTGTACATATGTAACGCAGATTATATCCCGGATATTTGATTCTATACCGGTTATTCTTATAGTAAAAATTGAAGGATAATAAGAAGATTTAGAAAATGTTAAATTCTACTAGTGCATAGTTTTCATTTTCTAGTCTTCTTGGTTTAGACCGCATGGTTTCAATGTTCGAAGGCGGCGTATCCAGTATGATTCCTTTTTCTTCCTGGTTTCGGAACTCCAGCTGTGGTTGTTAGCAATAGCGATAAGTATTATATCACTGAAAGTGTGTCCAGAAGAGGAGAAGTGTTCTGCGACCGGGCTTCTGTACAGCTATTTTGTCATCCAATCAGATCTATGAAGGTTTATCCTTTTGTGTAGCTTTTCAGTTTCTCCGACGTACTGAAGGCCACAGATGAACTATGATTATGCCTAATGGTTAGAGCGTCCGCCTCGAGTGCGGGAGGTCGTTAGTTCGAACCCTGGCAGAGTCATAGCAAAGGCTTATAGAAATGGTACTAACAGCTGCCTCGTTAGGCGCTCACAGAGGTTAGTGTTAGAACTGACCAGCACGATGTCAAGATAATGTGACTGGGTGGGACATCATGCCACATATCTGCGGTATCGTAGCTATATGACTGCTAAATTTGTAAAAAAAAAAAAAAAATACGTTAAAAATCTATATCACACACACACACACACACACACACACACACACACACGCGCGCGCGCGCGCGCGCGCTTGCAAGTGATATAGTGATGAAAAAGATACTGTCATAATTTATAGAAACAATTTACAAAACCAATCTGATACATGTATTCTAGGAATGAATACTTTTGCAAATAACGATGTTGTAAAGATTATAACAGGAGCTGATAAGCAGACGGTAAACTTTAGACAAAAGATACTTTACTGAGTAACAGAAGTTAAGAAAACACGAAGTATATATTCCTTACGTTCACGATTTTTGTTCATATGAAGAAATAAATAGCAACATTTCTAGCTTTCCTCGTGAAACAAATAAGAATCCTTTATAATAATATGTCTGAATTTAGACGAAATGTAATTTACCATTCATAGTAATGTTGGAACTAATGGGTAGTGATCGAATTGAATAAATCATACAAAAGGTTTTCTCTGTTATTTGTATTCTTCTGTTCTTGTTTATATATATTTGATAATAATTGTGAACAACAAACAAATTATCTCAGCTACAACATTAAAAGTACATTCCTATATGACCCAAATGATATTCATCTGCAGTCCCTGAATGAATTTATCTATATTTCTACCTAAAAGACTTGTTCAAACACTACTGGACTGCTTAGTTCCTCATGTCAAACATATTTCGTACATACTGTAATTTGCTATGGACAGAGCAAAGGTGGTCCCAACGCAACAGAAACAGACATCATAGCAAACCAATTTTAGAAGTAGTTATAGAAAGATTAGAAGCATAGTCAGAAATTAACATCATTGCAAATGGAGTATTAAAGAGACGATATGTAAATTATTCCCAAACAAATGTATACTAACTGGTTTATGATTCATAAAATAACTTTAAAGTACTTTTCAGGCAAATGCTATTATTTATTTACCAAATTATAAATGACATAATTTATGCAACTAAAATAGAATAACCGAGAATTAGTATATCTATTATGATAGGGGTTTTGTCATAATCTTCTTCTCATTTCCTGCTATGAGAAGGAATTACCCATCTCTTATGAGCGGACTCGGTCCATCATTAGAGAGATAGAGAGAAAGAGAAAAGAGTGTAAAACATATAATGTAGACACAGTTACATTTGGGGAACTTGGCTAGCGAGAAGGGTACCAAGGATCTGAAATAAGTACAATGAGTTCTCGTGTAATTGAAGCAGGAAGCCGAACTGTTTTATTAATATAATTGATACAGACGATATATAATGCTACATTCCAAAGATACACTTCACAAAACCTTTACATTGAAAAATACACAGAATACACTACAAAGGTTTTCTTTTAAGTTTACCGACTTCATATGTTGTAGCTTTCGTATTTTAGAAAGTGTTACAAGTAATAGATCTGAATCAAATTAAAGAAAATAAAATAGTTGTGATTAATGCAACAATCATTTTAAAGAAATATATTTTACTTAATTTGGGATAAAGTACTAATTTAGAATAGATTACAAAACATTATTCTTTATTCCAGAAAGATAATTTAAACTTCTAAATTAAATCTAAACATGAAGTCGATAACCATTTTGATCTTTTAACAATTAGCATAAATACAATAAATATCAATTCTTAAAACAATTGAACAATCCATTATATTATAATATTAAAATAAAAAGAGAGCTCACAAAAGCATTGCAACAAGGAAGGTTACAATCATAAATCTTTAACTTCCAAAGGTACTTATTTTCTAAGAAATTTTAGAACATAAAAATGGTCTTACCTGAAATAAGTACAATGAGTTCTCGTGTAATTGAAGCAAGAAGCCGAACTGTTTGCTAGAATCCTTTGGGGGCTTATTTATACTAGATCACGACGCCTCGTAACCTTTTATGGTAACGTCTTAGCTTTTTTGAGGTGGGGAAGGCTAGCACACGTTTGGACTTCGTGATTGCTTTAACTAGCGAGAACTGGTTTTTATCCCCATAGAACTACGTATGTTTTATATTTTTATTTCTGACCTTGGATTTAACTTCCAAGCCAAAATACTCAGTTGGAGAATATGTCAAGAATTTTTGCCATTGAGTGTAAGCTTAGTGAATTTATACATGTATAATGCGGCAAACTTGTATCAGTTAGAGGCAGACGTTGTAAGAGGCAATCTTTATTAAGATAGAATATAGCTTTATTAAATAAAGATCAATCCTTTATTTTAATTGAAATTATTCACAATATAGTTTAATGAAAATGAGTCCAAAGAAGGGTTAGTTTTAATACAATTTAGAGAGATTTCTCATGTTCTTATTTATACTAAAAATTTTCCTCATAACAATACCTTCTGGGTTATTTGAGTTACGTCCTCGAGGCTCGATTGAGAATTTTTTTTACATTCATACAATATTAAAAATCAAAAATACAATCGATAGTTATGAAATTGCAAAACAAAAACCCACAATGAACAGTCATGGTTAATAAGATGTAAAAAAACCCCACAATGAACAGTCATTGTGGTACATTCAGTGAAGTAAAAAAAAATACACTAAGAAAACACTATAATATTCAATTTGACATAAGTATAGTAAAAGAACACTGCAACCTTTTTTATTAATCAAAAGAATAAAAAGAAAAATACATTTCACAACATTCAATGAAATTCAAGATTACAATATAAAAGTACAATGTTCAGTAAAATTCAAAATTACAATAAATTTGTCGGGCACGAAATCATAAAAAGAGAAGAAAAAAATGTAGTGAAAATCTACAATATCAAAAAAGATTATTTATTTTTAAAATTTATTTAATTTAAATTCCATATGACCTACTCTACGAATAGTCCTGTTAGACGAGTGTCGTCATAACTGGAGAGAAGTCCAGACGGTTGCCGTCATAGACATTCCATAATTAAGAACATGTTCATGCTAATGGATGTGATTATTCACAAGGAAACACCAACATTTTATTGTTTATTAGTGTCCTGTGTGCAGGTGGTTATAGCTTTTATTAGTGCTAAGTAGTCTGGTAATGCGGTCCGTTGGGGAAACATTGGTATTTTATCTGGAGAACGAAGTTGTGGTCGATAGGTAGTCGGTTAGTCGCGTTCTTGGCGATCCTGAGTGCACAGAGGGCACACGCAACCGTATCTTACTCGTTTTGACAATTGTTCTTCTAAATTATGGGTATCGCAGCATATTTTCTTAAATTTATGATAAGGAAGTTTTGGATCCTCTATCATATCGAGTGGTAACTTAGCTTTACGAATATACATTTCGGCAAGACTGTGCAGTTGATAAAAAAACCTAGCATTTTAGGAATCATGTCAAGAGAGGGTATATTACCCGATAGTAGTTTTGCAAGCGTTTCTTCAGTGAAACCAAGGTAAGCTGCAATACGTACAACGTGAAATAAAGCGTTAGGGTTATCATACAATGTCGTGCCTTTGTCAATGATAAAAAACAAATGTGTAACTACAGTGATATCGAAGTCAAAAAGGAAATCTCTAGTCGGGTCCTTGGTTTGACGCATATGAATTTTAGTTTCACTGTAGTTTAATAACCTTTGTAACACTGGTGAAAGGGCAACCACCTTTTCGAGTACAGTAGATCGAAGAACAATTGACTTGTTCGTACTGAAAAGTAACGTGATTGACCCTTCCATCCCGATGCCTTAGCTGTTTTTTTTTTATTTGAAAATCTTGTTTTCGCAATCAGTATCTGTCTCCCACCGCACGATCCCCCTCGGGTATGAGTCCAATGTTACAGTGCTATTTTCATGGCAATGTTAATTTTGAAAAGGACACACCGCACGATCCCCTTTGGGTACGTGTCCAATACTGTAGTGCTAATATTGACAAAGACACAACAAATGTAACGACTGGCATGCTTGTTTTCTTTTATAGAGTAGTCTACTTATTAAAACACGATTACTATAGCATACTTAGCACTATATGATGTTTAGCACACATGTTCTTTATTGATATACAAAAATTTGTTGTGTGTGTGTGTGTGTGTGTGTGTGTGTGTGTGTGGTGTTTAAGGTAGAATCGTGTATGGTGGCAAGGAAGGATGTGTTTGAGGAGGGCATTTTAAAACACTACCGTCCGAACGTTGAGGAAAGGCAATATCATGATGTGTCCAGATAACGTGAGCGCAGAAGGGCTGACCAAAGATTGAACGAAGTTTGTATGCAGATATAAAACCAATAGGAAACGAGGTTGGCATAGTTAATTCGGAGTTAGTGTTTACTTTGGTTAGTTTAAAACCTGTCCATCTAACATGTAATCGTGGTCGAAGATAACCCGTAACATGTAGTTCATCAATCAAGGAAAGACCGGTAATGTGCCAATATGAAGGACATAGACTAAGCTGAAGAATACCAATCATTACGCATTGGACTCCCGTAGTAATTTTAAGACGGAGTTTAGTACGTGCACTTGACTGTGAAATCCATTTATAAACTTGGACAAGAGCTATTGTGAATGGCATGATGGATACTGAAAAGATCAAATGATCCCACGTAAGTACGTCCGAAAGAGTAGTAAACCAATCAGGAAGAGTAGTCGTCGGTGCAATAGTGTACTGGAAGTGAACTGTAGACTGAGCCTTTGTTGTGTGTACAAGTAACAATGCGGTGGACAAGGCTCTGAAACGCCATATGAGCCAAACTATTGTCAAGGTGTTAAGAATAGACAAGGTAAAACTGATTATAGTCATGATATGTACAACATCTGACCAAGATCAATTGGAATTTCACCACTTAAAATTGCTTCTGCCAAGGACGAAAAGATTCGTTGATCGCTTTTAGAGCGTTCAGCTACCTTCTTAAGGCTTAAGTCGATTTCCTT